TCTCAATACAATGACCCGTAGAAAGTGTAAATTGTCTGGGTATTAGTTATTATGTTATTATTTATCTAAATGTTCTGAATAAATTAAGTTCTCGAGTGCTTTACGGCTCGTATAGGCAGTTCGCCCCTGATGAAGCATGAGAGAATCAACGTAATTATCCGGCCACTGACCGTCATGCTGTGTGCAGGGGCTGAGTGCTGTGTTGTACACCCGTGAGGTGACCATCTCCCCCACTGAGGCTGTGCGGGTGCTGGGTGAGGCGGCTGCTGGGGACGCTGGGGCGCTGCTCACAGCGGGGCCCGTGGTGGCGCTCCTCGTCGACGCGCCCTACCACCACATCCAGCAGGTGATCCACCGTATAGCATTACTTCTACAGGCAACCATTCCAACATTTTAAAATTATAGGTATTTCATAACGTCAACAGGTAACCATCCATACTATTTTAAAGTTTATTTTTAGCCAGCCCGCGTCAAAAGTTTTCCCTACTAGTTGACTTCATTTTGAAAATTCCTTTCAATGTTAGGGTTCCGAAGAATTAATTATATAGATCAGTCATCAATACGGCTGAATGCCGTATGGTGATTCAATACGCTGAAATTAAGCTGCACATCAGTAATTTGCAAAATTGATTAAATAATTAATAACATTCATCTTTTTTCCTGGCAGTCCGTCTCTGCAGTCAGGAGGGACCTTTACTTCTTGTCCCCTAACAACGGCAACGGCTACAACATTGCCAACAAGTTCTTCTCGTTTGCCTCGCTGTCCATGTCCGTTTAGATCTTCTTAGTCCACTCGTCTAGAGGACATTCCTTATCGACTTCACCGTTTGTTATTGAGTTTTATTCAGCATCCGAGTTTTATGGCACAAAATTATGCGTTCAGTAATATATGCTATGGTGGTTTTCTAGTATATGAGAAAGTATTTCTTCTTCATTTCTGTTAATTGATTAGACACTGAAGTTTGTCAGAAGTTTAATATTGTTCCATTAAAAGTCAATGAATTCCTAATGCTGCCATTCTTCTACGTAGCAAAATGTTTCATCCGTCCACATCTAATTATGCGATCTGTGATAGATTTAGCCCTAATTGTTAATGCAAGTTTAGTGTCAATTGTGCATCCCGTTGCGGTGATGAATTTCTTGATAACCTGGGATTATTTTGCCTTGCTTCTCCTATGGTGTTGACCAAGCAGCAAAGGAACGCTTAATACCTTAGAGCAATAAATGGTTACAATGTTTCGATCAAAGATATAAATAAGTTGTCACTGGCTATTCATTTCGTTGTTTTAAGCATTCAAGTCTGAGCATTTATAACTCAAATTATGTATTGTACGACAAGCTAAAGTTAATAAATGAAGTACAACTTAGATTCACCGAAAGCACTTCGTTTTGTCTTTTCATTTTGAAAAATTTACTATACAAGCCCATGAGATCCTTTTGGCATAATTTTTCGTCCTATTATAAGTGCGTCTAACTCAATGTACAACGTTTTCTTTTTGACCCACATGCATAAGTATGATACCTACAGAATTCCTACAGAGCAAAAGTTTTATTAACAGAGTTTTCTCTTAAGTGAAGTTATGACCGCATCAATATTAAGGAAGAGTTATTCGAATATTCGCCAGCAACGAAGTATTAAAGATGTATCTCTTGAAGTACTTAAGTATTAAAGTTTTACATTTATGTCGAAACAATAATTGGAAGAACGATGAGTGTTACGGTATGCAGGCAGCGATCTGCAATCATCATGAGTATGTGATGCTAGGGTGCTCAAAACCATGCTTGGGTGCGCCGTGACAGATCTGACATTGGTTTTGAGCTGCAATAAGGATCTAATTGTTTACGTGACATGCGGTAGCTTAAATAAATTTTGCAATATTGATCAATTCCTAATTATCTCATGAAAAACGTAAGCTGGAAAATTTCATTGCTTAGAACACGTCTCGGGACAAATTTACGGCCGGACACGCGGCCGGTCTCACGGCCAATCTCTTAATTTAGTGACCAAGGAATATCTCCGAAACTAATGAACGAAGCTCGATGAAACTTGGTACACGTATTCAGCAGAACCTAACGGTGATGTTTAGCTAGTGAAATTTTTTTCCATTTCACCTTCATTCGTGAATTATTTGCAGTGACAGAGGTAAGAAATGTGTTCTATGTCGAATTCTCAGTTATCTTGAATTGCTTTTACATCGCTGGTGCTTCAGACACCACAAGTCTTGAACCAAATTAAATCAAGCGCTGGTTAGAAGTTTTTCTCTCATTGCTCGCTAATCTCTGAAGTACCACGCATGTCTTCGCTGCGTCGTGTCTCTTGTGCGAGCGCAACTCATCCGTGACTCACATTTTCTGTTGTACATTTCTTCGAACTTTAATTGAAGTCAGGACAGTCTATTCAGCTGCTCTGAAATAGAGGGTAACGTTGAGTCAATCAAGTTTAGAGTTAACTGATCTGGGGCCGTACCATTAAAAAGATTTACGATATTGTAACTCCGTCATGCAACCAATAACGGCATTTAAAGGAAAACGCATCAATCACGGACAAGAAATTAAGCGCTACGTGCACTTGCTGGCTGCGTTTATTTAAAGGGATTTTTGATTGTACGGCTCCTTGACGCTAACCCTGTGCTCTCAGGTCATCCTTTTCTCGTCACTACCAGAGCCAGGAGAGGGAATGTAAAACACGTTTACGTTCACAGTTTATAATAGATACAAAACTTGCATGTATTTCGTGGACGTGGAGTTACACCTTTATGGCTATTAAAGGCATACTAAGTGGTGTACAAAAACATGCTACACGAGTGATCATGACCTTAACGTTGGGAGAGTTACTGTGAGCGATCAAATATATGCGTATCGATTGCTAAAATGGTAAATCTGCAAGGTGTTATCTTTGCGTGACATGTTATATGGTTATCATAAACTTGTTGATATTCTCAGACATGTTATTTCTGTTATCACATGCAGCAGCAGCACCAGGCCATCCATGTGCCTTGTCTTGACGTAGGTATTATAGTTGGCATGGAGTGCCTACATCATAACTACGGTGGTTTGTGCCATTGCATCCTCCACTTTGGGACCGGAACGGCTCCACCGCGTGTGAAGACTGCCTAAAATCATCTACGATCCTCTTCTGCCCGTCCCTCCTCCTGCTCTACCTTTTCTTCCCTAAGCCACAGCCTTCCTCTCTTGGCTTTCATTAGCCGTTCCTCGCGCCTCTGAATGTAGGTGTCCTGGTTGTAGGGGTCTTCTACTGCAGCAACTCCTACCCGTCCATCATTAGTCCATCCTGAAGCACCTCTTCCAGCCCCTACTGCAGGTAGCGGTATACTTTAAGGCAGTGGTTGCCGCTGTCAGCGACGACGACGTGGCCATCAGGAGTGTAGGCGAGCCCCTGGGAGCCGTGCAGAGGATCAGCCAGCGTGTTGATGTACGACAGAAACGACCCGCCGCTGTCAAACCCCTGTGGGACAAATAAGACTCTTCTATGACGGTAAAAATTCGCCCGAAATACACGTGGTTAGTAATACGGGGGCTGGCAGAGAAGTATGAATGAAACGAGCGACGCGGCATGCCACCTGAGGTGATAACTTCGTGAGGCAATGACTGGGATCTCAGCTCGTCAAGTTAAGACATTTCAATAGCAATGCGTACGAGGTCGATAGTGCATCGTGTGTGTCTGTACAGCGCCTGCATTGAAACGGGATATTTAGGGATCCACATCGACGTTGCCCGTCATCGTCGTATTCCAAAGTTTGTGCGTGTACGCCAAATATCAAGTTGTTATGTGACACGTCACACTTGGATATACGGCAGTCGGTAACACGTCACACACCTGGATACGGCAGTTGCCCCAGTCCGCGACGATGATGTTGTGGGCGTCAACCGTGTGAGCGTTGAACTGCCCGTTGCTTTCCCCGTGACTACCGAACGCGAGCACAAACTGGCCGTCGCTGTCAAACACCTGCATGCACCAGCGTAGCTTAACACCTGTGAAAGCTTCACTACAAGGAAAATGCGGGCAAAAACGAGGTATTCGAGCTCTAATTGTTTAGACTGTTGCAACGCACCTTGACGCAATTGTTGTAGAAGTCTGTAACCGCAATGATTATTAATGGCTGATGAGAATGGGTGAGCATCTTACCTTGTCACACTATCCTTCAACAGGGCAAGGCTAGGCTCCTAATAAATAGTTACACCAATTAAGAACACTTTAAAGACAGTCACGATGAAAAAAATTAAGCTGGGCAGTCTCATCTTCATCCATTGATCGCTTTGTTCCTCCGCTCCACTGCACAATAAGTATTGCTCGCGGCAAACCTGACCGTAAGCAACACGTTGTGGATGATCAAACTAATGACTTATCAATCATCAGTCAATTTGACAAAAATATTGAATGCAAATCAATCTTCAAATTTTATTGGCAACTCAGTCAAATGATTGCAAAGAATTTAAAAAAAATGTGGAGACCTAAACAGTAATAACTTTCGAAAACCTAAATTTGCATGAATATTTTACGTAAATAAGCATTTTCAGTGATAAAGGTTTGAAAATTTCACAACATCCTAGTTCGTCAGTGGGTTCAAGTGTTCTTACGCTGCGAATGAGTTTCTTGAGCGTCGTCATCTGCGCTCTGTTGTACTCAATGCCTGGGAAGACGTCCGAGACAAGCGAGAAGAGCAGCGGGATGTCTTCAGCTACGAGCTTCGGGACCATGGTCTCGCAAACACTTCGAATCAGGATCTGGAAAAACAGCATTTAAATACAGATTTTAGATAACTGGAAGCCGAGTATTTGAGCTTATAAATCTGGCTGACATGCACACGATTTTAAAGTGAAGGAGCATGTGAATCCACTTTTGGTCCTCTTTGCTTATATGTGTCAAGACTTACAGCTGGAAAATCGGTCAGAGCGGGAAGGCCAGAGCTGCAAGCTCTGTTGTACTCAATGCCTGGGAAGACGTCCGAGACAAGCGAGAAGAGCAGCGGGATGTCTTCAGCTACGAGCTTTGGGACCATGGTCTCGCAAGATAACTGGAAGCCGAGTATTTGAGCTTATAAATATGGCTGACATGCACACGATTTTAAAGTGAAGGAGCATGTGAATCCACTTTTGGTCCCCTTTGCTTACATTGTCAAGACTTACAGCTGGAAAATCGGTCAGAGCGGGAAGGCCAGAGCTGCAATCCAAATTACCACCTGGTGCAAAGATAAAATTCATGTGATGCGGCTCAGAACCAGCATAGCTTTGCATTCAGTTGGGTTTAGAATATGACAACAAATAGAGTATCTAATATAAGACAATTAAAATCACAATCCCATATTATGCTAATAAAATGTATGGCATAAATGACTAGTGTAGTTTGAACGCAGCAAGGAAAATAGGCACGCATAGCATCGAGACGCAATGTCTGTTAATCTGCCACGATAGTGCAACAATTATAGCTTACCTGACAAAGGCCGACAAAGATTCGTTCCATGGCCTGTTAGTCAAAAGTTTCGTCACAATTGAAGGCAAGAACGAAGCGCCCGAGTTAGTTCCCGAGGGCTTTAACAGACTCTTACTTGCTGGTACAGACGGTACAGACGGGTCAGAAGAGTAATCCGCCATGACGTGCCTGGGTCATGGTGAGGTAGCCTCGCCAACACATAGACGTCTGCACGAGACGGTCCAGCACGCCGAGGTACTCGAACCTATAGTTGAANCCTATCACCTTCGACACTGAAACAGGAAGGATTTAGAGTTGTTGATTTTCATCCTTGGAAGGTCACGAATGACCGTTCGCTGGTGACTAACTCATTGATGAAATGCTCAAGCTTTTTGCGCCGCAGAGCAGACTGTTCTAGCAGCACAAAGTCAGAAAACTGAGATAATGTGGACTCAACTTGCTTGGTGGTCCCTTAGATCAGGCGACTCTTCTGCCCTAATGTCTTACACATTGATTAGAGCAGAAGAGTCGCCTGACCCGAAGGCTTCGACATCTTCGGTCCAGATGATCTGGGCAGCCAGCACCACGAGCTGCGCCTGGTTGGTAACGATCGCACCACTCCATGTAGGCAGAAGAGTTTGTGCCGGAATGCCTAAGTTGACGGATGTCTGCAGCCGCTGAGACAAGGTTTTGGGCTAATGGCATCCACATTTCCTTCTTGACGAGGGAGAGCAATTAATTAATTTTTGAATTTTCGATTGTGTTCACACAATTTTTGAACCTAACTTCTTCTCCTTCCCTCGCGAGAAGCTATGCCAGAAATGATCGTTTTATCTCCATTAAGGATGATGGCAGCGACACCAGTGAACATGTTTTTTAAATGTTCCGCATGTTAGGGTTGCTTATGCCGTTTCTTGTGATATATCGAAAATCTTTATCACCCCTCAGGGGGGACCTCTGACGGGTGTCTGTGCTCGTCAGAAGTCCTATGGGATTTCGCGCTTCTAGAGGGATTGTTCCTGAGCGCCCCACCGCTGAGTTCGGGGTGTTTGACTGCAGGTATCAGTTGTGGGGTTAAGTTATTATGTAGGCAGTATTCCTTATATTGCCCTTCTCTGTCTCTCACGTGCGGGCGGCCGACGTCCCGTGTAAGTGACCTCTTGTTCGAGTGTCTTAGTTTCTGCTGCTTTTCACCTGTCCCTCCTTGTCAGTTTGAAGACTGCATTTGATAGGAAACAATCTATATTAATGCCTGGTTAAATATTAATGCCTGGTTAAATGGAAAAAACCTAAAAAATACTTAACGGAAGGATGGGCAGAAATCATTTGAAGCCATATTCACGCTCCTTATGCAATCTGAAGTCACCGTTGTACCTCTACCTAGCACGATCCTCACTGGTAATTCAAGAGAGCAATAACAGAGTTGTCCCCCAAGGAGCCTGTCTCTCCCACAAACTTCAAAGCTGCTACACATGACATCCCACCTCCACTAGACTGCGCAGATTACATAGCATTTGCATATGATATGACACATAACAAGACGCTACAAGCCCAACTATACTGCACTACAAAAACAACACAAAATCCAACAGATGCGAGTATACACATTCGAAAACAAATGGCTAATTAGAACCAATACCGCAGTAACTTAAAAATTATCCCCATCACTAGACAAAAATCATCTGAAAAAACCTTCAGTTACGATAAGTTTTATATACCGTACGTTACTATACGTTTACGAACGTTTTATGTTCAACAGAAGAAACCAAGAAGGACAATGCTTCGAACTTTTCTACGCCGAACTTCAGAGATTAATTAAGACGTGCAACTAGCAACTACTGCGACAACTGCATAACGTCACTGCTGAAAGATAGAATTGTTTTAGGAATACATGATCCAAACATTCAAAAGGAACTATTGAAGACAAGCAATTTAACGCTAGAGAAAACGGAGGACAGCTGTATATTAAATGAAAGAGTGGTCACCCATAATAAAACACTACGCCAAGAAGTTAACAAAGTGATCGACTCCAAGAACCCAGCAGGCATTCGGTGGCTGAATCAACTACGCATTACGACATTGAGATCAGGGTGAAAGGAGGTTTAGAATGAAAATTGAAGCAACATCTTTCATGCAACGTCGTACTGACGTTACAATGCAACGTTGAATCGATGTTGCTACCACGACGTTGCTGCAACGTTGAATTCTATGGTTGGTTCGACGTTGAAACAACTACGCATTACGACATTGAGATCGGGGTGAAAATTGGTTTAGAATGAAAATTGAAGCAACGTCTCTCATGAAACGTCGTACTGACGTTACAATGCAACGTTGAATCAATGTTACTACTACGACATTGTTGCAACGTCAAATTTTCTGATTGGATCAACGTGAAGAACCAACTTGTTTTTCGTCCGTTGCAGGATTCGAACCCGGGATCGCTGGAGACCGTGCGACGCCTTAGCAACCTTGACCACGGCGGCTCGCGTGCATGAGCAATAGAAATAAGCAAAAGAATTGTTCGACTCCTTGAAAATTGAACTGCATTCTCTGGTCATTACTCGTACACTTATGTATATGTATTCCATTCAATGTTGGTGTGATAACATTAGTTCCATGCTGGGAAATAGCTAAACATTCAACGTACCGATATCGACCATTTTTCAACGTTGAAATTAGGTTGTTTTCCAGCCTTTCTTGTTTTAGTCAGATTTCGACGTTGATCGGACGTTTAATTTTGGTTGTTCAGCATTTCAACCTAAAATCAACATTGATTGAACGTTTAAAAATAAATAAGTTCTAGTTTGGTCAGATTTCGACGTTGATCAGACGTTTAATTTTGGTTGATCAGCATTTCTACCTGAAATAAACATTGATTCAACGTTTAAAAATTAGTACAAATTCAACATACCAATATTGACGTTATTTCAACGTTGAAATAAGGTTGTTTCACGTCCCTTCTATAGTGTTGGTCAGATTTCGACGTTGATATGACGTTTAATTTTGGTTGTTCAGCACTTCAACCTGAAATCAACATTGATTCAACGTTTAAAAATTAGTAAACATTCAACGTACCAATATCGGCGTTATTTCAACGTTGACATAAGGTTGTTTTACGTCCCTTTTAGTTTTGGTCAGATTTCGACGTTGATATGACGTTTAATTTTGGTTGTTCAACATTTCAACCTGAAATCAACCAATAATCAACGTTGTTTCAACGTCAGATGCCTGCTGGGAAAGAGGCTTCAGCGAATATTAGGAATAAGCGACAGTCTAAATTTTGTGGAAGGCACCACCAATTTGACAAAAACAAATGCCCAGCATATGGAAAAACCTGCAAGAAAAGTTTGAAGATGAATAATTTTGCTTCGACGTGCTTGTCAAAACCGCTACCGAGGAATACGTCAAATAAAAACAAAATCAACTACTTAGAAGGAAGCAGAGACATGGAGTCGGAAGAATGAATCAATATACTCGTCGCACAGAACTGCAACAGCGAGAAGATGATAATAATAATAGCGGGTTCAGCGTTAATTAGGCCGTAGGCCTGTCGCCGATTCTTAACATCGCAGAACATTCACAGTATTTTACGGTCTCGAACTCGCAACTCACTGCTCCAATTCTGCTATCCTCAACCGCCCGGCCTCCTTGCCGATTCTAACCAGAAACTAGCGCACAGAGCTCGGATCGAACCCGCGCCTCTCTGCTCCTATCTTGGTACTCTGAACTTTAGCCAGTGGACACTTTCTTAACTGGTTAAATGCACTATGGAGATTGAAAATAGGACGGTGAAGTTTAAACAGATACTGGCTCCAGCGTTAATATCCTTCCCAGGAACTACGTGAAACACAGAACAATAAAGGGAACAAATATTGTGCTCAAAACTTGGAAGAACAAGAATTACGCCCCATTAAGAGTGTCGTGTAACTGTTCGTAACCCAAAAGACAAGAAGAAATATAATGTAAATTTTGTGATCAGAGAAGAACACTGCACACCAATTGAAGACTCTGAGCAAGCCAGCAAATGAAGCTGATAAAACTGAAAGAAATGTACTTCCAAAGAACCGACAAAATAGACAGACAAGAGAATCCTCGAATATCCAACGACAACCTAGGAACCTTCCCCGGCATCCATAAACTGAAAATAAAAGTAGATGCCCCGCCCTGCATAATGCCAGACCGACGAGTTCCCATTGCATTGAAACCGAAACTGAAAGCGAAGTTAGAGACACGAGAAGTTAGGAGTCATAACCCCAGTTGAAGCAACAAAATGGGTAAGCCAAATCGTAATAACAAAGAGAGAAGGAGGAGTAAGATTGTGCATCGACCCAAGGGAACTTAAAAAAGTAATAGTCAGAGAAAGATATACCCATGGTTGAATTAATTCAACCATGGATATACCCTTCCGAATATTGACGACGCGCTTCAGGAGTTATAAGCTCTTCCAAAGTATTCAGCAAGACGGATATGGCAGCAGGATATTGGCATGTAAGACTCAACGAGAATTCTAGCAAGCTTACGATTTTACAGACACCTCATGGCAGATACAGATGGCTCAGATTACCAATTGGAATGTCCACGAGCGCGGAGGAATATTTCAGAAAAAAACTACATGACGCTTTATCAGGTCTCAAGGGAGTAATATGCATTGCCGAGGACGTCATAGTTCTCGGCCCTACAACCTTGGAACACAATGAGAATTGGATAAAGTTCGCTAAACGATGTGAGGAGCAAGGAATAAGACTAATCAGAAACAAGACTAAATTCAACGTACTCTGTGACATTTATGGGACACAAGATCTCAAAAAGCGGACTTCAACTAGACTACGAGAAGATGAGAGCTATAAAGGATTTCCACGACCGACAAACGTGTCTCAATTACGAAGTTTCTTAGGAATGGTGAATTTCTTAGGAAGATACATCCATAACTTGAGCGAAGTCTCACACCCCTTACACAACTTGATCAATAAAGAAGTACAGTGGAATTGGTCGGACTCTCAAGAGAAGTCATTAATCGAAACCAAGAAACGTATTAGTGAAAACGTACGACTAGCTATTTATAATCCAGAAAAAGAACTAACGGAATATATCCAGAAAAAACTAACTATAATCCAGAAAAAGAACAAGACGGAAATCCGATTGCCTAAGCCCTAAGCCAACATAACTTCAAGCGACGGTGGACGCAACTACGCGCAAATTGAGAAAGAAATGAGAGAGATTGTTTTAGGATTGAAGAAGTTTCATCATTATGCGTACGGACGAAGAGTG